TAATACCAGCCTGCAGTCAGCTCTTCCCTGTGGGAAGGCCTGAAACTTCTGTAGCCAGATCTGTGGCTCAAGGATTGGACTCTTAAGTCACCTCAGGACCCATGAATGAGCTGTGGTAGAGATCCTTGGATCAAGGGTTGCTGATGACAACATCCAGTTCTGGGCCCTGCACAAGACACAGACAAATTGGAGAGTCCAGCAGAGAGCAACAAAAATGATTAGGGGCCTGAGAAGCATGGCTTATGAGGAAAGGCTGAAAGAACTAGGTTTATTTAGTCAGGAGAAAAAAGAATGAAGAGAGATTTGATAACAGTCTTCAAATACCTGAAGGGCAATTACACAGAGGATGGAGATAGCATTTTCTCTGTGGCTGTAAAGGATAGGATTAGGAACAATAGCCTCAAGCTATAGTGGAGAAAATTTAGGTTGGAGATTAAGAAGAACTTTCTGATGATGGTTCTGACCGGTTAAGCACAGAACAGGCTATCTAGAGAAGCTGTGGGATCTCCGCCCCTGGACATTTCTGCCCACTCCCCTGTACCTTGGATATGAGCAGCTGTCAGAGGCAGAGGATGGGCATAGGGACCCAACAGCAGCACATTGCTACAGAGGAGGGAGGGATCTAGGAGGCTTCAGCCCCAAGAGTTTGTGTGCAGGGAGCTTAAAGCTACTGCTGCTCTGTGTTTTTTTGTTTGTTTGTTTGTTTTTTTTAATGGAATGGAAAATGTTTTTAAGGACTTTTATGGACAGGGCTTTCTAGGGTGCTGTTTTACAGAGTGTCCGTAAATTTTATGGGCAATTGAGAACCCTGCCTGACAGCTTTGCTTAGGTGTCTCCTGGATGCTTATTTATCAAAGGGAATCAAGAGAGAGTTTTACAACTAAAGGATGTTGAGAGGTTTAGACCACCCTAATTTATTGATGCATTGTGCTCAGCAACAGTAATGTGCTTGTTTACCTAAATTCAGTAGACTCACTAAAGAGGGAGTTTCAAAATTGGAACTAACCTAATGAAGCTAAACAGCACAAGCATAAACACCGTCATCTTCTAGCCACATGGCAATATAGATAGAATTAGCCAGGCCAGAAAGAAGGGAGAGGAAACAGAGGAGTGTGCCTGACAATGCAGGCCCTCCACACTCATGGGCTCTCTACCTTCATTAGCTAGTCAGGGGGAGCTAGGAAACAATGGGGTCCAGGCTCCTCCCCCCTCATTAATTTAACTCTCCTTCAAGGCTTTGGGGCCTCTTGCCCTCTTTAACGAGGTATTGTAAAAGTGCAGCAACAGCAGTTAAAGGTCCCCCTTCCAACTCTCAGGAACTCTGGCCAAGTCTTCCTTGAGGCAGTGAGGATACCGCAGCTGTAGTGGGTAGAAGGTAAACTTGCTTGGGGAGATAAAGACACTGGAAAGATGCAGAGGGGCTGGAGCAAGGGGCCATGTTGCCTGCTGCAGGGTGTGAGCTGGTGGAGAGGCAGTCACAGAATGAACTCCGGAGGGTGCAGTCCCAGAATCTACTCTTCTGATGACACAGGAATGATGGAGTAAAAGGGAGGTGATGATATAAGTGCATTAGGTTTGCAGGAAGCCCAACTGGGACCTGTGCACACCAGGGTTGGGAATTATTAATCTCTCACTGTAGGGAA